CAATATACTGAGGTGKGAGTGCAAGGAAAAGATTTTTGATKMATTCTTGAATATGTRGCCTGTAGGTGCCATCATGGTCCAAACAACCCTCATTCTTGAGAGACTGTGGGAGCAGTTTCTTCCCAAGCATTGAGTTTCGTGCCAGAAGCTCAGTCTGATACAAAAGTTGAAAACTTCCCTTTGCCTGCTGGGAAAGCAGCAAAAACAGGTCTACTGCATCCTTTTCCTGCATGATGAAGATGTAAATATGGACCATTTTCAGTCCCTCTCCAGCAGAGTGAGTTGAGCTTTTRCACATAAYCWCAAAATGGTTGAGGTTGGAAGGACCTCAGGAGGTCATCTGGGTCCAGATGGCCTATGAGTGTGTCCAGAGGTGAAGGCTCCACAACCTCCCATGGCAACCCGTGCCCATGCACAGTCACCCTCACAGTAAAAATWTACCCTGATTTTCATTTTTTTWAAAGYAAGTGTTTAGTTTAAATAAGTGTTTCCTATTGTAGCTCTTTCCTGTGTKAGCCATGAAACATTCAGGTTGCGTGGAGCTTGGTGCTAATGCTATGTGCAGAAGCTGGGCTAGTCCATGCCCTGGTTTTGCAATTCTGTATGTGCTCCCAGCAGCCCTTTTGCACCAGTTTCTGCAGCTTGTTCTGCTAGTTTAACTAAAGCAAACCCGGATTATTCTCTGTGGAATAGCTCCTAAAAGACTGTCACAAATGATATTACAAGATAGGGCTGTGTATCAGTGCAGAGAGGCATCAATGCATGGAGAGAGTGGTATTTAGGGAAAGAAATAATTGCTTGTCTGAGCATGCTAAATTAACTATTCTTGCTGCCACAAACTAATTTGATCTCCCAGGACCCATTTCCTCAGCTAATTGGAAGTTGAGTTGCCACACATGTAAATTCTCCCTTGCAGCTGTATTTGTTTCAGGCCAGCTGAGCAAATGCTTGGGGATGGGTTGTGAATTAGCACAGAGCCTCTGGTCTTTTAGGCCAACCTTGGATTGATGCTCCTGGCTCCTGCCACAGCCCTTTCCTTTCCAGAGRAGAGTCTCTGATGCCACATCCCTGCAGATTTGAGTGTGGTGCTTGGGGAAAGGCTGCCCTACTTTTCTGTCTTGTAATTTCCAGAACTCTTCATGCTGTTCTCTTGCTAGGAAAAAGTGTGCTGTGCTGCTAGAGATGGGATTGGTGTTTGAGGCAGTGGTGCTGTGTGCACTGAAGAAGGAAAGAGAAATTTCCCTTCAGATATTTAGGGTGAAGRTAGGAGAGGCAATGTGTGCCTTGTGGAATTTTAGCTTTGACTGGTGTGTTAYCACCCATATCTGCTTCAGTGATGTGTCTGTGCAAGAGAAATTCAAGCCTGCAAGTCACTGGATGATAATTTAGGTCCCAAACAGAAAACTAACCCTTCCCTTCTGCCTGTGAAACATTTAGACCTCATTTATCCYTGGATCAGTCTGATTAAATCTGCTTCTCTGGCAAATTGATCATCCCAAATGTCCTTTTCTGAATTGGCTATTTTAGAGTAAACATCTCTGTGAAGATTCCATAATACTTTGCTCAAAGCTGATGCTTTTTTCCCCCCCTAAAGGACCTGGTGCAGATCCAAAACTGATGATGGATATAACAGACATACTGCATGTCACAGCTCTACATTTCCTTCTCTTTTGGAAAATTGTTTCTCTTGGGAATTAAGAAAYACAGATCCTGGTGGCACCAAGTTTAGAAACTTCCACGTGGGTACATGYTAAAGGCCTGAGGATTGGGGTGCCTGGGCTGTGCTCCTGGTTCCCATTCTGCTTGAGACTTCACTTGCTGCCTCCACCCTGTGGAGTTCACCAGCTATTCCCATACAGAARCATTGTCAATCCCTAGATTCTCCCYGGGAAAGACACRGGGTTGTATTTCCAGGAGGCCCTGTGAACAGGAGCTGGCTGTCACCTTGTGTCCWCACCAGCTATATGTGGTGAGAGCCATGCAAGTACTTCAGATTCAGTGTATCACCAAGAAAGCTTTAATTGGATGCTTGAAAGTTAAAAATAATGATGTTTTTTACTGCATTTCCCACATTACATMGAGATGATAATTTTCGTGGCTCAGTGACTGGTGGAAGTGCCATTYTGTGCTAGAGTATTCTGTGCTGCCCGAGTCGACTGTGCCATCACATGTAGTTATGCTGGATTTCCCTGCCTTCACTCACGTGTTGCAAGCAGCAAGCACTTTTCTTTACTTGCATTTAGGATTGAAATGGCTTTTCAGAGGTTCCCAGCACTTGTAGTAGTTTTTATCTAGGCGGTTGGAGGTCTGGAGGCCCCATTTGGTGACGGCAAGGCTGAGGGATGATTCAAACATGAAGGCCTGTTGGGAAGAGGGAAGGTAGGTTAGGGTAAGAGGGAATTTAAATTCAGACAAGGTGTCTGCTCTACCACAAACAGGATTTGTATACATGATCCAGTACTTCCAGGTTCTGCTTTCAGCCTAACTGACTCAGGGRGAATGYTCTTCAGATTTGGCAATGCARTGCTTRTATTAGGAGGTCTCAGGAGTGTCTYTGGACTCCCTGCATGCCCAGGAAAGCCAGGTTATTCCAAAAGCCTAGTTCAAGSTCTGTTCATGGTCATCATTAGAATTTAGGGGGTAGAGTGAGGAGACCCATCAGGGTGTTTGCTTCTTTGCCCACAGGCTAAGACAAAAATGAAATTCCTGGCTTCCTGCTCATGCAGCAGTTTAGGTGGGCAGATGATYAAAGCTGCCTGGTATCGGATGTCTCCAGGGGTGCTCCTGGGAGTTGAATGGTGCTAACTGGTGAGGGATGTGAATGCTGCAGCAGTTGGGTTCAAGTACTTTTGCAATTTACCAGCAAGAATCTACAGTACTAGGCTGTAGTTTAAAAGTAGCACTATACCATGCTGTTTTCCAACCCTTACTAGCTCCCTTTGCTCCTTACCATGGTCCCGTCTGCGACCCGCTCTGGCTCCAGCTTGGCTTTGCTGGCCTTGTCAAAGCAGTCAGCATCCGGCCCGTGCGGGGTCATCATGCTGTGCAGGCTGCCACCTCCCGGCTGGAAACCTTCTTCCTTTGCTTCGTAGTGGCCTTTGATGAGCCCCATGAACTCGCTCATGCAGTTCCCTGCAGGAGGCACAGAGAAGTTGCAAGAAGGATGATTGGGAGGGATCACAGAAGAGCTGTGAGCTCCTTGAAGCAGGTGGSGTGAAAGTTTGTAAGCAGGGTATCGTGAGGGAACATTGGGGATCCTACAGGCAATGCTTGTAAAGTTGTATAGGATTTTATTATCTGGATTCAGAAACAGAGCTCCCTAATGAAGAATGTTTGTTAGAAATCACCGTAATGAAGGTGGTTTCATCAATCCCTAAATGACACTGGTAGACTTGTGCTCTTCGTACCACCTCGGGCTGTGTAAGCACTAAGCCTGTATAAGGACTGCATGGTGTAACCTGATTTTACAGACTTGGGTTAGAGATTGTAAAGAAAAGGAAGTTCTGTATAATCATCCCTGAGTTACAGGCACAAAATGCCTGGCCAATGGCCTTAAAAGAGAGCTTGCTCTGCTCTCCCAGGTTATGAGTATGAAATTATTTTGATACTCTTCTACCACCTCCAGAGCAGCAAGAGACTTCACTATCTTATGCTTTTAATTCATGATTTAWATACCTATTTCTCTACAGCCACTGTATGCCCTAAGACAAGGAGCCAAATTCTGTCCTTCCCTGAGGAGGAATACTTTCCATAGGCCCTCTGAACCCAAAAGAATAACCTTTAATATTAAAGATAGTGTACCACTTACTTAGGCAAGGATGATTATATCTAATCATTCAGTATTTTAACAGCTGTCATCCAAGCTTTCAGCTTTACTACACCTGATGTGACTAAACAATATGGCAACTTTCTGCTTAGCAGTTACTTTTGGCAAAACCAGGACATGCTTTTTTAACTTTTATATGTAGCCCTCTTTAACTGCTAGTTCAGTCTTTGTTAAGTACAATCCAGGGTCTGAAACGTTTAACAGCAAAACTAATTTAACTCAAAGCAGGATTGTCCTACATATGTATGCAAACATTCATTAATTTTCCTCCTAAGTTGTCAGTGTCTCATGTAAGACTGGATTGTTACAAGCTTTTCATTGAACCTGCTCATGTAGTGCACTTGGCACATTTAGACTGCAGTATGTACCCTACGAGGTGGATGGCCAATTTGTGTGCAACAGGAATTTTAGTATCTGTCAGGAAGGCTGGGCATGTGAGTAGGAAACCAGCCTGCAACTTAAGAGATGAGCAGAGTCCAGTTTGTTTTTCACTTGCAAATTTWATATGTGAACCCAAACARCTCAGRTGTGCCTCCCTTCCYTATCAGTTAAATAGTGTTGTCTCTACAGAGCAGGATGTTGTAAAGTTAAAGTCTCTTAGTGGCCAGTAGGTATTACACCACCACGAGAAACACATAAGCACTCTCTCAGGCAGGATTAATATATGCCCATAGTATAAAAACTGCATCTGCCCACTGTATAAAAACTCAGATTT